TGACTCCTTTTAGACATATTTTTTAAAAAAAGATTTTTTTATTTTCAAACTATTTGTAACTGCACCTACATGAGAAAAAAAAAATTTTTTATTTATATGCATTAGTTGTGGCGTAATTCAAATTTTAATATGTTAGGATTTGCAATGATCAATGGTGGTCAGATATTTTTTGGAGAGGAGTGTATCTATCTAAAACAATGGTAGTTCTTCTTTAATTAAGGACTGAATCAATCATTTGAGATAGATTATATTTAAAATTATCAATATGAGTATCGAGGGCTTCTTGAATGCTCTTGAGTTTAAAATCATATTCTCATGATTCAGCTTTCGCTTTGAGTTTAATAAGGAGAAGTTTAATATCTGAAAAAATAGATTAAATTAAAAGATAGTGAGAAGGGCAATTAAGAAGAACAGTATTTAAACTAAAGGAATGAGCAATTTGCAAAAACTGCGAATATAAGTTAGTCTATTTAGGATGAATGACGAGATTCTTAAGATACTATTTTGATATTTTAGTAAAATGGTAAAGTAACTTGATATTATTATATATTTTAAATAAAGCGATGAGTTTTTTTGAAGAGTGATAGGATTTTAGCTTGTGAATTAGGATGCATTTTTTAGCTAAAGCAATCAGAAAATCTTGAAAAAAATCCTAGGTTAAATTTAAAATACTCTGTGACCAAATTATATTGATTAAAATATGCTTAAATGAATTGAAATTTATTATGTTATCAAACTATCTTAAAATTTAGACCATTTGGAATCATCCATTAAATTATAATTGAAGGAGGATTTTATTAGACTTTTCTTAGTAGACATGGTATCTTTAAAAAAATTAATAATTTTAGTTAAGATAATGTAATAATTAGAAATAATGAAATCTATTTGAGTAGTATTACAATTAAGAATATTAAGCGATAATTTAAGAGTCATAAAAATGTAATCAATTCGAGATGATAAAGTCTTATTAATGAAAGATGAGTATGATGATCTATTATTTTTATAGGAACATTAAACGCATTATATAAATTGTAATGTTTAAAGGAATTAATAAAATTAAGTTCAAAGTAAAATTATTAGAACAATCTATATTAACGTTTAAATCTCTGATGAGAATAATGTAATAATCATGTTTGATGACATTATCTAATAATTTGTTTAAATAGTTAATAACACTTCTAATTATGTCTTTACTAGTAAAAGATAACAATTAAGAACAAGCAGTTTTTATTTATTTGTAAATTGAAGTTTAGTAAAAATGATTCTATTGAATTTGAAGTCATGAAAAAAATATGTGTTTCACAATATTAAAACTAAAAGAAAGCTGATACTAAATCTAATGATTGGATGTTTTAGTTTTTAATAAAAAAGGTAGTATTATCAGAAAAATTATGATTGAATTTAGAAATATTTTCTTTAAAGTTAGTTTTTTGCAAACCTATGATATCAAATTGATTGATTGAATATAAGAAAAAAAGGTAATTTTATTTTAAGGGTTCATTAAAGATCAAACATTATGTGTAGCAATTCTAAGATTAGAAAAAGGTGAAGTTTGAGAACTAGGTAAAATTATATTATTATTTGTAAGAATAGTAATTATGATAATTGAGTAAAATTATTGTAGAAAGCTGCCAATACAGCATTCTATCATTTATTAAAATCTTTATTTAAAGGTTCAAAAACATGTGTATCGTGTTGACTGAGAAGATTTTTGTTAACAAGTACGGTTTGAAAGTTGTGATAAGTTTTAAATAATTTGTTAAGTAAAGAAATAAATTTTGAGATGCATTGTTGTTACTTTTAGCAAATAAGTACTAGTTGTTTATTTGTTTATTTTTGCAAGTAAGCAGTGCAAAAAGAAATATCAATGTGTAGTAATTTGTAATCGACTTCAGTAGCTGAGTCTGACAATTTATTATTAAAATCATCTACTTCAAAAAAGTGATAACATTGATGTGAAGGGTTTTTTCGATAACAGCTAATCAGTTTGTGAAAATTTGAATTCAATATAAAGATCATTAAGTGTGTTGACAATAGATATAAGCTAGTAGGTAACGAAAGTTTTAAAATTTGAGTTGTGAATTGATTTACCTTTTGATATATCATTATTTAAATTAGAAGTAAGATAGACTTCGTTTTCAAAGAAATCATCTATGGGTTTATCTACTCAATGTAATTTTAGCTTAATATTAGAAGAATTAAGAGAAGAGAATTTAGGGTTAATCTTTGAAGAAGGAGGTAGTAGAGGTCTTTTCTTAGGCAATTCTTGGAAATTGTTAGTTTGCTATAGAAGTTTGATTACATAAGCAAAGGTAATGTTATCACAAATGACATCTCTTACAGGACTTCATTTAGGTGTATTGTAATTGGTAAATTAGATAGGTTGAAATTTTTGGTATAAATTTTACATGTGACGATCTTTCAGCATCTGATGACATTTGAAACAAAAAGTAGCATTATGATATGCTGATGAATAAATAAACAAAGTTTATTTTCAGGTTAGTTTATTCAAGTTTCTTATTATTTAAGATCAAATTCTTAATATCTATTGCTACCTTAATATCTTCCTTAATGAGAAAATAAAAGAAGATATATTGAAGGTAATTGTAGTTTGAATGTGTATGAGAGATAATCCAAGTAATAGCAGAGACCATATTTCCAATATCCTGAAGGTTACGTGATATGATATTTCTAGAAAGATTACAGTCAACTCTTGATATAACGAACTCTTGATATAATGAATTTTTGAACAAATATAATAAAAATACTCTTGTTATAGCGAATTGCCCAATCAAATCTCTTAAAATCTTCACTATAGCCTTATAGCGAAGTTGAGGTCTAGGACATAGAGTTCGTTATAACAAGAGTTGACTGTAGTTAGTTTAATAGAATAAGCTGATTGGGTTTGAATATCTGTTCTGAAAAGACTACAAGGATAATAACAGATCATATTATTTAATAGATAAATACCGTCTCCTTTTTTAATTCTATGAAGTTTGCTTGATTGTCAAAGGTAATTTTTACTCTTTGCTATAGGTTTCTTATAATAAAATGGACAATATTACTAAATTTAAAAAAAGTTTACAGAGTCTAGTTTCAGTAGTGTTTAGAGGAATTTATGTGACTGTGATTGATTGATTAGGTATACAGGATGCAGATTTTTTAATATCCAGTAGTTGAAATATGGTATTATTCATTTTGAAAAATTTGAAAGTGTAGAATACATCATATTCAGCTTTATCAAAAAGGCAATTTTAATTATTGATTGATTCTGATCAACAAAGTGTTTTCCTCTTGTAGCATTAATGAATGAGTTATATTTGTCATAATACAAATCTGTGATCTTTGAGAGTTTCATTTTAAGAATTAGGTTTAAGGAATTTCTCTAAGGAAATAAAAGTGAAAAATTTGATAATATGAGTTGAAGGTGTTTCAAAATCAAGGGTTAAAGTTTTTAAATTATTTTCTGACGCATCAAAAGACTTGTCAACGCTTATAGTAGTTTTTTTGTAGTATTTTCTGGAGTGAGAATCTCAAGACCTTTTCCTTTATCAAGGTTATTAGTTGAGCTTTCCTCAACAGGATCAACTTCCATCATGTTAGTGTCTTTTATATTGATAGATTCAGTAGACAGAACTGGTAACTTGAAGTAAGTTCATCATTTAAAGTTTGGTTAGTATTTTATTTTTTGTTAATACTTTATTGTTGACAGATAACGCAGAGTGACTACAGTTAGTAATCTTTCTTCCAGTATTTTTTGGCATTTTTGTGAATCGGCAGAAAGAGTTTTTTTATATAAAATAGTTCTATTTATAATGAATTATTTATAACAAAATTTTTTTAATATAATAAAATTTTGAAAGATATATATTACTTTAAAGAAAACTAATTCTATAAAAGAGAATAATATAAAAGATTGTTAGTAAACATTTTTAAAGAAGTTTGTCTATTTTAAGAAGAAGAAATATAACTTACCAGTTGATTTTCAAGTCTAAAGAAGTCTGATTCTAAAAAAAATAAGAAAAAAAATATTAGTAAATATTATTACACTTAGTTTATTTGCTTAGTTTATTTACTTATAATACTTAATAATTCTAAGGATATCAAATAGTAAGATATAAGTTAATAAGCTTATTTATAATTAAAATGAACTATATTATTCCTTTTAGTTTATTAAATCTATTCTTAACTATTGATTTCTCAAGAAATATAAGTAAAAATTTATATAATCAAAAATTATTCTTATTAAAGGTATTATTTATTATAATTTTCTAATTCCCTTCAAATTTTCCTAAAAAGACTATTAAATTCTTTTTTTGGCTGAATCTTAAGAGCTATTTTTATAAGAGTTAATAAGTTGATATAGCCATGATATAGCTGGCTAACTTTATATTATTTGCTATAAATACTTCTATGTGTGTATATACTGTTTATGTGTAATTACTATCTATGTATAATCTTATCTAATTCTTATAATCTATATTTTAATATCTACCTGTATTTTAATATTTTTACTATTTTCTTTTACTTTTTACTTTATTTTTTAAATTTCACTAATTATAACTATTATATTACTATCTATTATATTATATTATTTTGTATTATATTAAATTACTTTGTCTCACTAATATGGGGCCTTTGCAATAGAAAGGGAGAAAACTCAAAAAAAAATAAAAAATGAGTTAATAATAAATCTGAACAAATTATAGTATTTGAAACATTTTTGGCTTATAAACTAAAATTTTAATTTTTTTGGAGTTTTCTCCCTTTCTATTGCAAAGGCCTCATATTATCTTACTATTTAATAAATAATTTTTTAATTAAAATATTATTAAATAATTTTCAATAACTAATCTCTTAATACTATATTTAATATTTTCTAATAATTAGTTCTATAACTAATATCTTCAGATAATAAATTCTGTAATAATGTTCTTAAAGAAGCTTATTAAATCTCAAGAAGAAGAAATATAACTTACTGGTTAATTTTCAAGTCTAAAAAAGTCCATTTCTAAAAATGAGAAGAAAAAGAACATTAGTAAATGTTCTTAGATAAGTCAATCCAATCCCAAGAAAAAGAAATTTAACTTATCATTTGATTTTTAAATCCAAAGAAGTCTAATTTTTTAAAAAAAAAAAAAGAATATTAGTAAATATTCTCAAAGAAGCCCATCCAATCCCAAAAAGAAGGAATTTAACTTATCAGTTGATTTTCAAATCTAAAGAAGTTCAGTCCTAAATAAGAAAAGAAAAAACGTTAGTAAATATTTTCAAAGAAGCTTACTCAATCTCAAGTTAACTTAAAAAAAAAAAGAAAAAGAATATTAGTAAATATTCTTGGAAAAGCTCACCTAATTCCAAGAAAAAGGAATTTAATTTACCAGTTAATTTTGCAAATTTAAAGAAATCTGGTCTTAAATAAGAGAAAAAAAACATTAGTAAATATTCTTAAAGAAGCTTACCCAATTTCAAGAAAAAAGAATACAATTTACCAGTTAGTTTTTAAGTTCAATGAAGTTTGATCCTGAAAAAAAAAAGAAAAAAATGTTAGTAAACATTTTTAGAGAAACTCATCTAATTCCAAGAAGAAGGAATTCAACTTACTAGTTGATTTTTAAGTTCAAAAAAGTTTAGTCTTAAAAAAAAAGAAGAAAAATAAACTTATTCATCTTAAGAAGACTTACCAATTAGTTTTCAAAATCTAAAGAAGTCTGATTCTAAAAAAGAGAAGAAAAGAACATTAGTAAACATTCTCAGAGAAGCTCACTCAATCTCAAGAAGGAATATAATTTACTGGTTAGTTTTTAAGTTCAAAGAAGTCTGATCCTAAAAAAGAGAAAAAATAAAACATTATAAATATTCTTAGAGATACCTATCTAATTCTAATAAAAAGGAATTCAACTTATCAGTTGATTTTCAAATTTAAAGAAATTCGTTCCTAAAAAAGAGAAGAAAAAGAATATTAGTAAACATTCTTAAAAAATACATCTATCTTAAGAAGAAGAAATATAACTTACTAGTTAGTTTTCAAGATATAAAAAAGTCTAGCCTTAAAAAAAAAAAGAAAAATTAAAAATTAAAAAAAAATATATATATATAAAAAGAATGAGAGGAATAAAAAATTAAAAAAAAATAAAAATTATAAATGAAGAAAAAAAAAATTAAAAAAAAAATATATATATTAATATATTATCTATTTATATTATAAACTAATTTATCTTTCATTAAATAAATTTTGTAACTTAAATTCCTTTCAGATTCAATTTTTTCATCAAATAAGTTTATATATTTTAATATTTAATTTGATTTAAAATACTAATAATTTTTAAAATAAATAATACTAATCATTATGTAACTTTTTAACATGTTTATAGAACTAAACTACTGAAGAATTTAAACTAACATATAGGTAAATATAGAGCTATTTTAAAAAGTACTTTAGTTAAAGAAAAAATTTATTATTATATTAGTTATGAATATTATTAAAAATGTCATTGTATATATGATAATAAAGTTTTAAATAATAAAATATAATATGATTATTAATAAGTATTAGAATTATATTTATATTTTATAATGCACTATTTTTCTTAATGATTATTACTTAAAAGAAACATTATTTATATATACACAAATTAATTGTAATTCATTAATTAAAATATTATATTATTCAAATTGTAAATTAGAAAATTATCTAATCTGCTATTATTATAAAGAAAAAAAAATTTAATAATATTAATTCAATTATTGAAAAAATATTTTAAACAAATATATTCATTATGTAAAATATATTACAAAAAAAAAACTTTTATACTAAAAGAGAGATTAAAACTAATAAACATGTTTTAAAATAATATAAAATATAATAAAAATCATATAATATTATATAGCTAATAAAATTATAATATTTTAATATATAATTATATATTATATATTTTTTTTTCACCCTTTTTATTATCATTTATCTACAATATGTTAAACATAGAATTAAATTAGTCAAATCTAAGATTATTAAAAAAAAAAATGAATAATATTAATTTTTTAGATAAATATTTTAACTAAATTTAATTAATTTTATTTAATTTTACTATTTTAATATATTATTATATTTTATCATTTTAGATATAAAATTAGATTTTAGAAAGAGTTTTAATTTTTAAAAAATAGATTTTTAGAAAAAAATTCAAAATATTTTAAATTATGTTAAACAATTTCATCTATTATTACTATTTAAGTATATTAAATAAAAAAAATTTAAAGTACATAATGATTGCATAATATTATGTTTTATAATTGATAATATAATATTAAATATTATTATTATTCTGAAATAATTTAATGATAATATAAAAAAAATAAAAATTTTATATATTAAATACAATAATATATTATTTTAAAAAAATTTTATAAATAGATAAAATATTTTAATTAATATATTATTTTATTAAAGAAAATTTTGATAAATATTTTTTAATAAGTATCAATTATATTTTTATCATAATCTTTAATTTTTTTAAATATTTTTATTAAGTAATAAATAATGTTATTTTATTATTATTATTTAGATTTAATTTGATATTTTTTAATATCAGTTAATTAGATATTCATTATAATGTAGAATTAATTTCTTAAATTTTAATTTTATATTTTTATTAATTTTTTAAAGTAATTAATAGAAAATAATACTTTAAAGTAATAATTTATTTAATATTTTAAAAAATATTATATATTTAATTCTTAATATTAAATTTTATTATCCTATACTTAAAATAATCAAAATTTTATTATTTATTTTTATTAATTTATAATTATTATTATTATTATAATTTATAATAATATGTAAGTTACATAAATAAAGTTATATCTGATTCTAAAATATAAATGCTTTGCAATAGAAAAAAAGAGATCTACCAAAAAAATTTTTTTTACTTTATAAGTTAAATTTTAATTTTTAGTAAAATAATCCAAATTTAACATTAATTTAAAAAATTATTTTTTGATAATTTCCTTTTTTTTACTACAAAGTATTCATATCATTAGCTATTTCATATAATATAATAGACAAACATTATATGAGTTTAAATTTATATAAAAATCTTTTATTACACTTCAAACAATTATATCTAGAATTTTAAATAAAATTTATTATATTTAGTAATATAACTAAATTTTAATATAGAATATAATTAAAAGAAATATTATATGTAAAATGTAATAAAAATATTTAAAATAATACTTCAAATTTGGTAGAAAAATACCAAATTCTATTATAATACTTCAATTTCTTAAATAAAAAATATTTCTAAAAACTTGGCTAATAAAAACATAAAATTTGAATACTTTTTTTACAAATATATCCTTTATCCTTATATTAAAACTATTTCTACTTTTATTTTAATAAAAATAGATATTAATAATATTCTAAAATCTTCAAAACTTTCTACATATATTATCATAAAAAATATTTTATTTATAATATCAGATCTTTTTTTTTCTAATATTTCAGTTGTTTTCTTTACCATTATTATTACATCAAAAAGCAAAAATAAATAACAAACTTAGGCTGAACAACTTAAATATAATGATAATAAAACTGATCAATCTTATAATCAAGATATAAAAATCTCTTTTTTAATATTATTATTTTATTTACACATTTTATATCTCTAATACTACTAATGATATCATTAATAAATTTATTACTAAAAAAAGAAATTTTATTACCAAACATTTTGTAAATTTTTAAGACTTTCATAGCTATGAAATAAAAAGTTGATACTAAAAAAGCAGATATTTTAGAGTTAATAGTTTATAATGAAGGTTATTCTTGATGTCAAATAACTGGCTATTATTGTAATAGTATAATAATAACTTTTTATCCTTTTCATTAAAATATCACGTGAAAAATTTGTGGGGAAACCCAGCCAAAAACCTAAATTTAAAAAATTCGTTCTAAAAGTTTGTAAAGATGAAATTTTTTATTATGATTGAAAATTAAGATATAACGTAATGGAAGTCACATGAAAGATATGATATATATTTCTGATTTATTTATGGATTAAATTCTTGAATAATCATATAAATGACTTTTATCGTGTTGACAATATTAAATTTGGTAACTAGAAAGTAAAGTTGGAAGAAGAGCGTGAAATTAGTCAGAAAACGCTTTTGTTTACTTAACCCTTTTTAAATATCGTATCAAAACATTTATAAAAATATAAAATTCTTAATCCATTATATATGTTTATTTGTATATGCGTAAAAGGGCTAAAGGATTCTAATTTTAGAGAAGCCTTGTCATGATCATCAGCCAAATTTATCAGAAACTTTTTTTTTTTTTACAATAAACAATAAATAAATAAGGATTATGTTATGTTTCAGGTTATAAATTTCAACTTTATTAATGTTTAACAAAATAAAAAATGTCAATTTTAACAATAATATCCGAAATTAACGAATTTGAGCTTTAATATTTCACAATAAGGAAGAAAAACACATGAATTTTCCTAATTAAACCTTATGCGAGTTAGGTGATAATTGAATTTTATTCGAGTTATCTGTTCAACAAAATCACAATATTTAATCCATCGGAATTTTTATCTTTACCCCGATCTTTTTTAAAAATAAATAAAAAATAATCATGATGATGCCACTAACAGAAAATATAGTTGAAAAACCAAATGTGAAAAAAGGTTAATATGATACGTAAGTCCTATAAAAGTTTGGTTAAATACGCCAGTCAAAGAAAATGGACAATGGAATAAGCTTAGATTTAGATATAGACGCTTGTTTGACAAGTGCCGTATATAATTAAATTAAAGGAAGTAATAAGGTAAGGTTTGTTTATTTGCAGATCATTTTGAATCATAAAATCATGATCTGTTTTTAAAAGGTACCTAGCATTTTTATAGAAATTCCTTTATATAATACGACATTACATAATCCCAATGAAATAATTATGTACATAGAAATATTTTTCAATATTTGGAGAATAAAATATGGTGTTGCGATACACTCATCATCTTTTATCCTTTAACCTATTATATATATATTCAATTACAAATAAGTAATCATTTATCGAAACAATTTTTGTAATCAAATATTCTATAACTATTGTGATCGGATTCCAGACTCCGATTTTTTTTGTGGAAATAGTCTAAACACATTTAAATTATTTGTATTTACTAAATCGAGACAAATCCATGGCTGTGTTGAGAATAATCGTTTTCACATGTTACTTTATTACTCGATTACAATACTTACAATACACTATATACCTTTACTAAAATTAACACGTGAATCATGATTTTCCAGGTATAAATATTTTGAACATTTATAATTCTATATTAGAAACTTTATTTTTTTTTTTTGTAATTTACTTTTGAGTTGGAAAATAATTCATTTCAAATTTCACTTCACCAACTGTGGTAATTTCTGTACCAATGTCTTCTATGCCAAGTTCATTGTCGATGCCAAAACCAATAAAAGTTCCATTATCAATGCCAACGCCATTAATAAATAATGAAGATTCAAGTGTGAGCACTATTGCTAGATTTGTTCTTTCAGGTTTATTTTCAAATAATTCGGAAATTCAAAAGAATGTTATTGAAACATGTTTCGATGTTAATGCTGGTATGTAGAATAAATCACTTTGATATCAAAAATTTTTTGGTTAAAATTTTACCTATATTTTTTTTTTTAGTTTTTGAAAATCCAATGATACTAGTTGAATCACGAGACAAAATTATCAATCAATTCCTCCTGCTTTCAACATTCTTTCATTCCATAACACCGGAAATACATTCAGTTACTAGCAAAAAGACAGAAGAAAATCATCATTTAGTTTGTATTGACTCTTTGATTAAATATCGTCTTCCGCTCCCCTGTTTACGCTCGAATGATATTACTCAACGTGTAATCACAAAGTTTGAATTTAATGAACAACAAAAGATCGTGAGGTATGAAGATATTTGGAGTTTAAAGGATATGGTGGAATCTTTACCAATTATTGGATGGATTTATACAAGGATGGCAAGGAAACTCAATGGGATGGTGACTGGAGGTGT